TGGAAACCAAACAGATTTCGAACAGGTGTAAGAGTCTGCGACTGCCAGCAAGATCCCCTGTGTTTTGCCAGTAGTTTCTATCTTTCCTTCTCTTGCAGGCAGGTCCAGATTCTGGACTGTTCTATGAGCCTCTCTTCTAGAGGATCTATTTCAAGATGAGGAAATCATAGGTTTCTTTTAGAAAAGAGTCATCATCATCATCTTACCAACCATGTTACCTGGGGCTCATCACTACAATTGTAATAATAATAATAATAATTTTCAAAAGCTGAAAACCACACACACACACACAATTAAATTAGGCTTGCAATGCAAACCAAATCAACAAAGTCATTACCTGCAGCCTTCTTCCATCTCCAGTCTACTATTCTTTACTGTAAGAAAGAAAACAAGAACAGAAAAAAAAATTGAGCTAAGACATTATCCCAGATTCATCCAGTGGCTTGCTCTGCTGCTTAAATATTTACTGATTCCTTACAATCTGCCAGACAGCATCCTGGTGATGAAGCGAAGAAGTTTTTTTTTTTGTTGTTTGTTGAAATGAGTCGGTGATATTAACAATCAGTTCCCTCCAAGTCTGGCTTACCAGCCACATGTGATCACACTCTTGTACAGGAACACTTCCTGAAACTTAATGTCTCCTATCACAGCCTCCCAAAATTAAACCAGAAATATGTTATTCAAGGAAAAGCCCAGATGCACTCAAGCTAGAACATTTGCTTTACTCAGGGGCCTGTATATTTCTCAGGAACTGAGAGCAATACAGATTCAGAACTAGTGAAATCTCAAATAGGAGAAGGCTCAAAGTTGAATCTGAGCACAGTATTCCAGAAACCGAGTCTAAAGAGGTGTAGAAGTCATGTTGTTTGGCTCAACACGATGATTTAAATAAAAAGGGGGGGGGAAGCTACCTACAAGGATAACTTTTTCTTGCTGAGATACCAGAAATTTCTATCCCTTGCCTTTCCTCCAAAGAGGTTGGTCTTTTTTTTTTTTTCTCAAGAATTCTTGCCTTGTTTAATTCAAAGATGGTGTAGAAAGTAAATGACAGGAGCTGGAGCAATAGCACAGCAGGTAGAGCATTTGCCTTACACGCAGCTGACCTAGGTTCGATTCCCAGCATCCCATATGGTCCCCCGAGCACCGCCAGGAGTAATTCCTGAGTGCATGAACCAGGAGTAACTGCTGTGCATCACCGGGTGTGACCCCCCCAAAAAAAAAAGTAAATGACAAAGTTAAACTGAAAACAATTTATAATCCAGCTCTGAATTTGGTGGAGGAAAGGACAATTAGCATCAACTTGGCATCTCAGATGCATTCTTTCCATCAAACCTGACAATACTTGGTAGCAAATTGAGCTTTGATGTCAGAGGTAAGAAATCATATGTTTTTGATTGCCACTCAATGCCTCTTTTGCAAACCACAGCACCCAAAAGGAGAGAGAGAACCAAAAGGAATGCCCTGCCACAGAGGCAAGGTGGGATGGGGGATGGGGGGTGGGAGGGATACTGGGATCAGTGGTGGTGGAAAATGGGCACTGGTGGAGACATGGGTACTCGATCATTGTGTAATTGAAACCCAAGCACAAAAATTTGTAAGTCTACAACTGTATCTCATGGTGTTTCACTAATAAAAATTTAAAGAAAGAAAAAAGGAAACAACAAATGGTCAAAGTAAAAAAAAAAAGAAAGAAAGAAATCATATGTTCTGAGGGGTGAAACTCTCCTCTCAATGTCAAATGGCAAACAAAGTATGGAACTAGGATAGAAATAAGAAGTGACAGCAAAGCGCAGGGCACTTTCTATTCTATCACGCAATTGTGTCTAGTGGAAATACAGTCTTGAAAGGATCTTAGCATTTAAGGTATAAAAAGAATTTTTAGTTAGGATACATTCTGTTATAGCTTCACTGAATACTACTCAGGACACGCACACAGGCACGAATGTGTATATATATAGATATATATATATACACATATATATGTACACACATATACATACGCACACCCCCACACTCTCCATTTCTCTCCCAATTGAAATTCAGGCCGAGGACAGCTCCTGAATCACGTTTGCAGGGAGGTAGCTGTCCTTGGGTCTTGTTATCGAACTCACGCTCCCGTCCTTGACTTCCCAAGTGGCAGAGAGCAGGCGAAGGGAAGGCAAGAAAGTCTAAGATAGGATCCTCTGACACTGGGGTGGAAATTAGCACATTTCCCAGGAGACCCAGATAAAAATGCGTGTGAGAAGAACAAGGGAACCAAACAGATGGGGCCCTCGCTCGGGGGCGCTGAGCGCGTCAGGATTCCCGGCGCGCGGCTGGGTTCCCAGCAGCCAGGAGCCAGCAGACATAGTGAATGAGTGGGAGGTTACTATGCTGCAGCCTCAGTTACACTAAGAGATTAGGAGGAGCTGATTCACCGCTCGGAGCCTGCCGCACGACTTTGCAAGTGGAGGCAAGGCTGGGCGCCCCCGCCCACCCTCGCCTCCGACTACGTTCTCAGAACCGCCCCCCTGGACTGCGTGAGTCAGATCTGCGGAGTTTTTTTTTTTTTTCCAGGTAAACCCGGGCGTAAATCACGGGGGCGATTTTGTGGGGTTGAGAGCAGGTTTTTTGCCACGGTGACAGTGTGTCCTTGTAAGAAGGTTGGTCTGAACACATACACACACACACACACACACACACACACACACACACACACACCCCTTTGGCTACAGGTGGTTAACACCTATAGAAAGAGCAAAGCACCTTCATCCCATTGGACATTGGTTTGTATTCAAACTATTAGCTCTTGGGCATAGTCAGAATCTAAAAATCTTAATCATAAAAAAAATCTAATGACCTCATCAAGAATACATCAGCATCCAGAGCAGAGAAAGAATGCACCCCACAAACCACCTGGAACAGGAATGAGGACTCAGCCCCTCTTTCCTAAACCTACACTTTCCTCTGTGCCATGAAGACAAAATATCCCAAGTAACCCACACCCAGCCTCTCAGTATGCTGCCTCCCAAGAAAATAACACCTTAAACACCTGCGTCTCTGTCCCCGGCTCCAGAGGTCTCCTGGGTTAGTACACAGCCCAGTGTCTTTTTTGAAAGGTCATTCCACGGGGAAGGCTTTGTTTTCCTGTCCACTGGCTTCTTTGTTCAGGAGGTGATGGGAATTCTGGATATACACTTGAGTTTATTTCCATTAATAAAGCCTCCATTTCAAAAAGCTACAAGTAGAGCTGGATGCGAAAGAGAGGCCGGCCCCCTCACCTGTCCCACCCAATCAGGTTTCCCTCAGGTCTATGAGTGACATGACATCCAGCCTATGAGTGAAAAATGGAAAAGCCGGATTCTTGCCAGAATAATCCAGTGCATTGTCTGGATTTGGTGCCTGGTGGAATCGGGCAGTATTTTGTAAAATGCTCTTGGAGCTCTTGGATCTATGTGGGCTCACTTGAACTTTGGGGGTTTTCAAGGAGCTGAGGTAAGAAGATATAGGAAGAATGAGTCCAGAAAAAATGATATTTTCCAGGTGGAAGTGATGGCTCCTGGTGACTCAGACGGACGGAAGCACAGCCGATTCAGACCCATGGAAGTGTACCCCAACCCTGACCACTTCAGCTCATGAATATTCTTACCTGAGTCCACTGGCTTCCATTGCCTGGTGCTTGAGTGTGCTGTGGGCTGGTCTTTTACTTCTGTCCATGAGGAAATTTTCCTGAAGAGAACTTGTCTAGTGGTTCAGCAACATTGTCCTTGAAAACCCCCACATCTAATTACATAACAGGAGCTGTTGTCTGAAAGGCACAGCAGGTCAAAATCCAGTTTCTAGAGATTAATAACTGCAGTCTATTTTACATTATCATAATAATTTCATTTATTTGGATACAACTTGTTTCCAGAAACAATCTCAGCTTCTGTACACAAGTGACAAATCCATTTGTTTCTGGTGTAATGGATATTGTGATTAATGACCTTGCAAGTGGATTTCTTAAAAGCAGAGTGTGTAGGTGGTGGTAGTGGTAGGGGTTAAGATTCCCTTTCAGGACGTGCAGTCAACTAACTGGTCTTGCACTTTCACTTGCACCCGGTCTCAGCCGAACTTGTTTGTGAACCTAACTTTTTAGCAAACGGTTTTACAAAAAAAAAAGGGAGAAAAAAAAAGTCAACTTGGGAGCTGGGTGTGTTTCCCTGGGCAGACGTCTTCTCTCCAGGAATTCCGAGGCCGGCTGGGAAACCAGATCAGTTGAGCTCGACTTTTTGCTGGGTGGGGTGAGGCTTGGCCACGTGGCACCATGCAAGGTGAAGAGTTCTGGATAAGTGCCCCCTCCGCCGTCCCCGCTTCCCCCCCCTCCCCCTCGTGGGTTGTGTTTGGACAGACGTCCTTTGGGTCCCTCTGGGCCGCAGGGAGTTCGGTGTCATCCGCCGCTGGCATCTGTTCCCGCCCTCCCCACCCCCCCGCGCACCTGAGGATCATCCGAGACGGGGTGCGCGGGGCGGGGGGGTCCTGATGGGGTTGACACGAAGCTCCGACAGCAACCCTGGGTTCGAGTCGCTCTCGGATTTTCTTCTCACCGGCCTCGTTTGAGAAGAGCGCGTGTGAACACAGCCCCGCGCCGCCAACCTAGCAGCATCCCGGGCAGGTTGGGGGGGGGTGAGGGGGGATGTGTCTCCGTGCAGGCACGGGGATCTGCGCCCTGGGTCCTCCAGCCCCTGACTCGTGCGTCCTCGGGTGGGCTCGAGAGACGCCCGCACGCGCTGGCTAGCCACTTAGGAGGAGCTTGAGTTCCGTGCTCCCGGGCTGGGGAGGCGAGGGGAACCCCCGCTCCAGCCCCGGGATCCAGCCCCCGCGCCTCCCCTCCGCTGGTAGCGCAGGGAAGTGCCCGCCCCGCCCCCCGCGTGACGCGCGTCCGGCCGAGCCAATCCGCGTTCGCGGCGCGCGCGGCACGCGCCGGCTGCTCCCGCCCCTCCGGCTTAAGAAAGGGCGCGCTGGGCGGCGGGGCTGGAGACGCGCGCGGGCCGGGGAGCTCCGCGGCCGGCCGACGCCCCGACGGCGGCGGGATGCTGGCGCTTCTGGCCGCCGGCCTGGCGCTCGCCCTGGCCGCCGGCGCCCAGGACGGCCCGGCTCCCGGCGCTCGCTTCGTGTGCACCGCGCTGCCCCCGGAGGCGGCGCGCGCCGGCTGCCCGCTGCCCGCGATGCCCATGCAGGGTGGCGCGCTGAGCCCCGAGGACGAGCTGCGGGCCGCGGTGCTGCAGCTGCGCGAGACCGTCGTGCAGCAGAAGGAGACCCTGGGCGCTCAGCGCGAGTCCATCCGCGAGCTCACCGCCAAGCTGGCGCGCTGCGAGGGGCTGGCGGGCAAGGCGTCGGCCAAGGGGCCCGCGGGCAAGGACACCATGGGCGACCTGCCCCGGGACCCCGGCCACGTCGTGGAACAGCTCAGCCGCTCGCTGCAGACCCTCAAGGACCGCCTGGAGAGCCTCGAGGTAGCGGGGCACGGGGTTCCGGAGGGGGCGTCGGGAAGCAGGGTTCTGCATTCCGCTCGGGGAACTTACTCCTTCCGACCCCTGTCTCCCACCCACTTTTAGCTTAGTTCCCTTCAGTTTTCCCTTGCGGGAAAGAAAGGGTTAAGGGACCTGCGCCAGACACGGACCCTGGGGGGGGGGTCCCACTTCGCCCAATTTCGCCCCTCCCCCCAGCCAAGGTTCTCCCGAGGGGGTGCAGTGATGCGAGGTATCCAGGTATCCGTCTGTCCGGTGTTGCCTTTTATAAATCAGGTCCCGCTGGACGAGGACATCCGGGGACCTGCGGATTCCGCGCCCGGCTTGGAGCTAACGTTGCTAACTTCAAAGACGCCTTCCTGGGCCCGCTGGGGATTCAAGCCGCGCTCCTGGTAGCGTTGGGAGAAAGGCTCTGTTCAGCTCTCTCGGGGGCTGTTTGGAACTTTGGGAAACAAATCTTGTATTTTCCATCCATACTTGGCACTCTCCTGCTTTAAGGGCAACCGGCTCCATTCAGAAAAATGTTTACTGAAAGAACCTGTTAGCCAAAGTCGGTGTCAGGGGCAGGATTCTCGGTTTCCGGTGGCGTGCCCCCCCCCCCCCCATGCCATGCTGATGAACCGCTTATCGTTTCTCCTGCAGAAAGCATGCACCGGAGTATTATCTTTCACCCTTGCAGCAGTCCGCTACTGAACCTCTTGTTTGCATTTAACCATGTACAGCCCACAATGGGGACCCAGGCCCCAGGAATCTAGACCCGAGGGCTGAGGCTGGCTTCCCCAGGTGTCCCCAAGAACCCACAAGAGGGGCGGAGAAGCAAAGACGATCAGAGGGAAGGCTGGGGAACATGCAAAACCAAGATCCCTGTGGTTTCCGAATAGGCAGGATTCAGCACTCTTGTTTTCCCATAGCATTCTGAAAGCGCAAGCCCAGGGATACACCTTTGCCACATTCGGGCCCCTGGGGGTTGTTCTTCCCTGTAGCCCGAAGCTCCCGCGCCGTGGGTGGGGACTCTTTTCTCCCCCACTTCAAGCCCTGTGCTTTGACGTTTCTTGCCGAGAATGGCAGGTGTTGGGCTCCTCCTCCGTCAGGCGGCTTTTGGAGAGGGATGTGAGACCCGTAAGTTTCCAGCATTGCTGCAGAGTAATTCTTGTTCGACGTGAGAATTGTCTCCACATCCTCCACAGAGGTGGGGCAGAGACAGGCCCCCAGAGTGCCGCCCCCAGCATGATCCAACACTCCCGTTTTGGAAGCTTCTCCCTACGCGTGCCCCCCCCCACCCCCATACAAGATCGCTCCCTTTTCACCAGCCTCCTCCTCCCTCCCCTCCATGGTCCACAGCACCAGCTCCGGGCCAATGCTTCCGGTACCCCACTGCCTGGGGAATTCCGAGAGGTGCTCCAGCAGCGACTGGGCGAATTGGAGAGGCAGCTACTGCGCAAAGTGGCCGAGTTGGAGGACGAGAAGTCACTGCTGCACAATGAGACGGCAGCGCACAGGCTGAAGACAGAGAGCACGCTGAGCGCCCTGCTGCAGAGAGTGGCCGAGCTGGAGCGCGGTGAGCCTCAGGCCACGACCAGGCTGCCCCCCCCTCCTCCGTGCCCCCCCAACCGAGGCTGCCCCCCCAACCATGCCCAAGTCACCCTTTCAGGCCTAGGGGGGTGGCCTTTTCTCCCCATGCTTGGCTCCTCCGCTGCCCCCCCCCAGCCTTCCAGAGTCTCTGGGAGTGGGGGGGTTCTGTCGAGTGACCCGATTCTGTCCGTCACTGTTAGCAGACACAGGAATCCCAGCATCTGGCTCAGCAAACACGGGACGCTGGGGATCTGGCTCATGGCGGTGCAGCCCAGGGACCTGTTGGTTGGTCTTGGGGGCATTGACACCCCTCCCCAGCATTGCCCCTGGGTGTCAGGGACCCCAGGTGGGCGTCACACACCTCAGCTGCATTCCTTCCCATGTGGGTGTTTCAGTGTTGGCAGCTCTCAGGACAGCTTCCGGATGGCAACACTCTGCAACCCCCAAGTGCCCCTACCTCATTCCCTGCGGTCCCCCCCCACCCCCCACACAATTCTGAGTTCCCCTGCGGGGGATGGAGAGAAGCCCGAGGGCCCAGAACAGAGTTTTCCCAAAGTGGGCCATGGGGCCACGTGGTGCTAGTAGCCTCGTGAGTGAATGGGAAGCATTTTGTTGACTTAAAAAAAGAGATCAAGTTCCTGGAGGCATTGTGGGCCAGGAGGTGTCACTAGTCCGCTTCCCTGTCACCCTGGACTGCTTGGGTGGTGCTGGCTTGGGCAGTGCGGCTCAGCTTGGTCTTCCACATAGGAACCCTCAGACTTGGGGCATTCCTTTTCTTCCCTCCCAGAAGCTGTCCAAAGAATGTCCCCCACTTTTTTCCCTTGGCACCCGAATGTCTCAGCCTCTTCCTGTGCTCCCCCGAATTCTTTTTGTCTGTCTGGTTTTCAGTTTTGGGGCCATACCCTGTGACACTCAGGAGTGACCCCTGGCAAGGGCTCAGGGCACCTTCTGGGTTGCCAGGGATCAAAGCCAGCTTGGCCACCTGCTGTATTATTGCTTCAGCCCCTAGAACTGAATTCTTGCTGCCTCCACCACACACACACACACACTCACACACAATAATACAACATACACTCACACACTTACACAGCATACACACATACACACACCCTCACACATTCACACACACTCATACATACACACACTCACATGCACACACCCTCACACACCCTCACACATTATACACACTCACACACACTCATACTCACACTCACATATGCACACACATGCTCACACACGTAGCATGCATACTCACAACATACACTCATATGCGCACACACATGCTCACACACATAGCATGCACACTCACAACATACTCACACACACAGCGTACACACTCATACAACACACATGCTCACACACAGCACACACTCACATACTCACCATACACACAACATACACACACCACACACTCACAACATACACACTCACAGCATACACATACTCATACTCACATGCTCACACTCACACACAACATACGAATTCACAACATACACGTTCACATATACTCACATGCTCACACACATGCTCAGACCCACACACAACATACATACTCACACAACATACACACTCACAAACATGCTCACAATACACTCACACAACATATACACTCAACAAACACACACTCACACTATACACACTTACGCACTCAACTTACACACAACATATACACACACAACACACATGCTCACATACACAACACATATACAACACACTCACAAGATACACACTTATACACACACACATACTGACTGACGCACTCACACACATCCCTGTTTCTGGGTGGCCTGAGGGAGCCCTCCAGGCAACTGGGCTCTTCTCAGGGCCTGGGCCGTGCCTGTGGTGGCCGGTGTCGGGCAGGCAACTCGGGGGACAGAGGGCTGGGGGTGTTGGTACCAGGGTCTCAGTATGAGCGAAACCAACTGAGTGTGTGGGGAGTCACGGAGAAGTGCAGAAACCCCCAGCCTGACCTGCATGGGGCTGAGGCACCGTGGCAGCGTGGCAGCGTCCCTGCCCCAGACCACCTCTCCCTGCCCCAGACCACCTCTCTCTGCTGCTCGCTCATGCATTTCCTTCCTTTCGCTTCAGCTCTGGGCCAGTCTCACACAATGCCCCAGCTCCTTCCCTGGGGGTCGCCCCAGGAGCCCCACTCTGAGACTCCCCCCCGGCCCAGTCTGGCATTCAGCAGCCCCATGGGGCCCTCAGGACAGTATCTGCTGGCCCGGCCATGTCCTGGCATGCGCTAGCCCAGAGGGGAGGAGGCCTGCATGTCTGCTCTGCTGGGTCCAGGCGAGACCTGGGGACTGTCCCCCTGAGGCCTCAGGCTGTGGCAGAGGAGCCCCTCGGTCTTCTCTGCGGCTGCCTTTGGCCCTCTGCCAAGCGCCCTGGACCCCGCCCCCGGCATTCCCGAGAGTGCCCTATTGGGCAGTGGTCAGAGCAGGTGGGTGCAATACCCCCTCACGCCCCCCCCCCCTTCACCTTTGAGGTGCCCTGTGAGCTGCACGGGAGCCATGGCCCCAGGCAGAATTCTCATGTCAGCCTCTTCTGGTGGGCTGTGGTGAGGGGATTCAGGAAGCTGAGCTGGGCTGCACTCAACAGCCGGTAGCCCCAGGGACAGGCCACGCAGCCTGCTGTGGAAAAATCCAGGGGGAGGGGGACAGGCCCAGAGCAGGTCCCCCTCTGCACCCCCGGGGCTCACCACCGCAGCCGTGATTTGTGGGTCAGGCCTGTTTTTCCTTCATTGGTTTACACTCAGTGTCCTCTGGGCCCCCAGCTTTCTACAGGAAGGGCACTGGGCACTGACTGGGGAGGGGCTGGACCCCCTCACCTGCCATCCCTGGTGAAGCCCACTTCTTGTTTCCAAGTGACAGAACTGTGCATGCTGAGCTGTAGAAAGTCACTGCCGGCTGCGCTTGTTGGAAAGATGATTCACGTGAAGAATCTGTCGCCAAAATGGCGGTGGAGAGAGGGGCTTGGGGTTCCCTTGTTCCTCTGAGCCCTGCCCTTCCCCTCTGCCCTCCACAAAATCCAGGGTGGCAGGGGCACATTGAGGATTTCTGAAGCCTAATGAGGGCTGAGACCCCCACCTCCTCGGCTTCCCCAGGCCCTGGGGTGATCCTGCCCTTAGGTGGGCTGTGCTCCGTGGTCAGGGGAATCAGGCCACACTGCTGGGGTTTCTTGGCAGCCCGCTGCAGAGGTAAAGGGGGTTCCATCGGCGGCAGGCCCAAGCCACTGCACCCAAGAGCATGTTGTGAAGACAGAAAACGAGCCTGGGGTTCTTGGGGGAGAAATGCCCTTCTGTGACTCCTGGCCTGGAGGAGGTGGAGGAAGGGACGGGGGTTGTTGTGTTTTGAGGTGCCAGGAAAGAGCACAGGGGTTGAGCATTTGCCTTGCCTGTGAGCGACCCTGGTTTGATCCCCGGTACCATAGCTGGTGCCCTGAGTACCATCAGGGGTTACTCTAGCACAGAGCTAGGGGTAAGGCAGGGCACCTCCGAGTATAGCCCCAGAACACCCACACTCACAGACATATTCAAACACAGATACATACAAACACAGACACATGCACACAAACAGACACACTCACACGTGCATGCATACACAGACATATACAGATACGCGCTCACGGACACATAGACACACACACATGCATACACACATGCATACCTGCTCCCAGAGACTCACAAAGATACCTGCACACATATGCACACACAGATATGCATACAGGTGCACACACAGACACATGCTCACACATGTACACACACATGCTTACACAGGCACATGCTGAGAAGGCAGTGGAATGAGTGAGGGGCCTGTCCATTCCCTGGCAGAGTCCAGTCTGAGAGGAGGGGAGGAATCTTGACTGACCATAGGACGAAACCTTCTGGAGGCTGGCCAGGACCCAGGGTGGCCCTTGGGGAGGGTCCTACGTGGCATCTGGGCATTCACAGTGCCGCCTCTTCCCACTGCCCAGGCAACAGTGCCTTCAAGTCCCCGGATGCATTCAAGGTGTCCCTCCCGCTGCGAACCAACTACCTGTATGGCAAGGTGCGGAAGACGCTGCCCGAGCTGTACGCCTTCACCATCTGCCTGTGGCTGCGCTCCAGCGCCTCGCCGGGCATCGGGACCCCTTTCTCCTATGCGGTACCCGGGCAGGCCAACGAGATTGTGCTGATCGAGTGGGGCAACAACCCCATCGAGCTGCTCATCAACGACAAGGTGCGTCCCTGCTGTCCCATGCTGGGCAGCTGTGCCCCTGCACAGCCCACTCTGGGCAGTGGACTGGGGGGTTGGGGGTGCAGAGGTGTCCAAGCTGTGAGGCTGGCTGGGCACAGGAACAGCCACGGGTATGAGGAATGAGTCTGCCCTGAGCCTGGCCCACCACTGCCCACAGCCTGTCCACGAGTTCCTGGCCATCTCTGTCCATCTGATACTAACACGGGTGTGGCTCTTGGGGGCTTCTGGAGACCAGACTTGTATGCCAGAAGTGTGCGCCTTCAGAGGCCAGACACAAAGACCACCATGCACCCTACAAACCACCATGTACCCACACAGACCACCGGCTACCTGCACAGACCACCATGTACCCACACAGACCACCGTGCGCCTATGCAGCTCAGCCATAGTTTCCCCAGTGTCCCTGTCTGTCCTGCTCTTGCCCTCTCCGGCCGAGGACAGGCCCTGCTGGGTGAGCCCCATTAGATCCCGCGGCCTCAGAATTCCACTCTGGACTCGGACAGTGCTCACTGCAGCGCATCCTGCTGGAGCCTGAGTCCCTCTGCATCCCACTGAGCCGCTAACCCCAGCCTGTTTGCTCAGACTTGGTAAACAGCCCATTCCCTGGGGGCAAGTGCCGTTGCCAGGAGCCATGCAGCAAGGGCCCAGCGTAGGAGCCCTCCTGCGACTTGCAGGTCACAGGAAGGCGGGTACAGCCCAGCCGTGTCCTTCGCCACCCTGTGGGGGGCTTGGGGCGTAGGGGGAGGGGGTCCACCCACCTCCCCCAGGGACACTCTGGAAGTCGGGCCTGGCCTGGCTTCTCTTGGGGGCTCCCCTAAGGCTGCCCAGGCGGGCACAGGGTGCCAGCCGTGAGATGCCTTGCTGTTCCGTCAGCACCCCTGAGCCCTGCTCAGGGCCTCCCACCTGGTGGAGATGGGGGAACTGGGAGGCCCCCTTCAGCAGTACATGTTCCCCTGCAGGTGGCTCAGCTGCCCCTGTTTGTCAGCGACGGCAAGTGGCACCACGTCTGTATCACGTGGACGACGCGGGACGGGCTATGGGAGGCCTTCCAGGATGGCGAGAAGCTGGGCACAGGAGAGAACCTGGCACCCTGGCACCCCATCAAGCCAGGGGGCGTGCTGATCCTTGGGCAGGAGCAGGTGGGTCCCCTCTGGGCCGGCCTGCGGGGGCGCAGGGATCTCAGTGTGGAATCTGACAGGTGGGAACAGGATGGGGTCATGCGGGCCGCAGACCCCAGCTCATGTCTCTAAGCTTTGGGGTCCTCCACTGACTGCAGCGTTGACTTGGGGTGCAGGGCTGATGGCTCTTCCTGTGGCTGCTGGCTCCTGCCGCAGAACGATGGCAGATGGCTGGGGAGACCGCCTGGGGTGACCTCAGCTGCCCCCCCCGTGTGGTGGATGAATGCTGAGTTAACTGTGGGAGGTTCACTAATGACTCACAGGGGCTCTGGGACACCTCCAAGCCACTGCCCCCCTCATCTCCTTGTTATGGCTCCCGAGTGGGCTAGGCCAGGAGAGCTAGGGCCAGGCATCCCCTTGGCATGGGGTGGTCTGGGCAGGGCCAGGGTGGAGGCTGTGCTGGCCAGTCCCAGGGTTGGCATGGAGGCGGTTGCAGGGGCCTCACCTGACCCCCCTCAACTGTCTCCACTAGGACACCGTGGGGGGCAGGTTCGATGCCACGCAGGCATTCGTGGGGGAGCTCAGCCAGTTCAACATCTGGGACCGCGTCCTGCGTGCCCGGGAGATTGCCAGCATTGCCAACTGCTCCAGCGACATGCCAGGCAACGTCATCCCCTGGGTGGACAACAACGTGGACGTGTTTGGGGGCGCGTCCAAGTGGCCAGCGGAGACCTGCGAGGAGCGACTCCTGGACTTGTAGTGGCCCAGCCTGGCCGGACGGGGGGCCACCGTGCCGCCCGCCCCTGCACCCCCAATTCTTTCCAGCTCCCTGTGGGGGGGCCGGGAGAGCGGTGCCCGGGATGGCAATGCCCTGAACCCCCTGCCCGTGCTCCCCTCCCGCTCGTCCTCTCCGACCCTGTGCCTCTCGTGTGCTCCTTCTTGCACCCCTAAAGGCTGTGCAGCCGTCCCGCTGTCCCTATGTGTGGCGTGTCCCGCTGTCCCCCAGCACGCAAGGCCTTGTCCTGCCCCAGGGCCAACTCTCTCCCTCCCAGGAACTTCCAAGTTGGATGTGGGGGGACACTGGTTGGGCCTGGCATTTTCCCCCACCCCAGCCGCTGCGACCCACCCACTGTCTCTCCTCCTGAAGCTCCGGAACCATCCTGGGGCCCGGCTTGCCGAGGCCTCTTCAGAAACGGTGCCAAAAAGCCCCCCCCCCCCCGCCGCCCTGCCCACCTACAAGGTCTGCAGGCTCTATGCTCTGCTCTCCCGGCCCACAGCATCTTTCTGACCTTCAACCTTTGACCTGTGACCTTCCTGCACTTCCTCCTGGCGCTGATCCTGGCTTCTTGGCCGAGGGCACGGCAGGTGGGCTCAGCGGGGAAAGTTTATAACGCTGAATATTATATATTTTATTTTTCATACGGGTTCCAAGTGCACATCTGTGGATGCCCCATGGGCAGGCTGCAACTGCCCGCCCTTTCCATCATGTGCGCCCCCCTAAAAAAGCCCGCGAGAGGGCAAAGTTTGGATTAAAGTTGCCCAGGAAGTGGTGGCGCCTCAGAGTCCTGGTGTTAGGGACGGGCCATGGGAGGGTGGGGAGGCCCAACCCAGCCTGGCCAGCATGTGTGGGTGAGCCCTCCCGGCCCTGTTCCAGGCACTGCCTGAGAGTCGGTCATCTCTGCTGGGTGCCCAGCCTCGGTGGGGACCCCTTCACTCTCATTATTTGCCCTGCTGGTCACCTCAGCCCTAATGACCCTCAGGGTCAGTTCCCTGCACAGGCACATCACTGTGGGGTCATACTGGGGAGGGTGGAGCAGGACCAGGGCCGCTGTGCTGTCCTCCCAGAGCTGGTCCCAGGTGCCCATCTGGCCCCACGGTGTGTCTGTCCCCACCCTGGTCTCCATGGAGGACAATGCTGTGCCCCTCAGTCGTGTTTGTGGCTTTGCTGTGGGTCCCTGGTCTGCCCCTGCCTGGGAGCTGGGACTCGGGGCTGAGATGCTGAGACTGCACAGAAGCTGTGACCCCGAGGCCAGGTCCGGGGAGTCCCATAGGGGTCCGGGTGCATGCCTGGCACATCCCCACCCCTGGTCTGGCTGCAGTCCCACATGGTTTCTGGTCACCCCCAGGTGTAGTCTTGGCAGGGGCCTGGGTGGGGGTGGGGGTCTTAGGCAACACTGAATCCAGAGCTAAGCACCCCCCAAAATTAAAACTAAGATCAAGGGATGATGAAGGACTCTGGGGTCGAACACGAAATCAGGTCATGCCCCTCCCTGGGTTCTTTGCCCAAGTGAAAAGACCGAGTGCAGAGCTGCGGTAGAGCGGGGAGGATGCTTGCCGTGCACACGGCAGACCTGGTTTCGATCCCTGGAATACCCGGGTGTTCCCCTGAGCACCACCGGGAGTACTTCCTGAGCATTGCTTCACGTGGCCCCTAAACAAACCAAAAGCACAACAGATCCAGGCTCAGACCAGCCCCCCCCACCCCCGCACCCGGAAGACGAGATCCCAGGTCCTCCAGCCACAGCCCTGCCCAAGTCTCCCATTTGAAAGAAATCCTGCCTCCCTCCCCCACCCCCAGCCAGGAGCTAAGTTTTCTAGAAGATACGGGGAGGTGGGGGGGGGGGGGGAACAACAATACTTGATCGGGAGCTCAGTGGCCCCAAAAGGCACAGTATAGGATGCCCAAGGTGGGTGAAGGCTGCCATGGAAACTGGCTGAGGATCAATGAGTGAGGAAATGAAAACCACGCATGCAGCTCCATCAAAGGCAGCGTAAACCCCAGGGGCTGCTGCTGGTGAAGATGGGTCCCCAGCCTCTAGGGAAGGGCTTGACCAGAAAGGAGCTTACTGCAGGACAAGGGGCGGGGGGCGGGGGGCGGCAGGTAGGGGGAGTGAGCATTTGTTCCCTTTGGCAAGGGTTGGTACCTGCTGGGCACTATTCCAGGTGCCTGAGCCCAGCGGTCAGAGAGCCAAGTTATTCTCTCAAACAGAGATGAGAGCCAGGGGCTGGAGCGATAGCACAGCGGGTAGGGCGTTTGCCTTGCATGCGGCCGACCAGGGTTCGATTCCCACCATCCCACATGGTCCCCCAAGCACGGCCAGGAGTAATTCCTGAGTGCATGAGCCAGGAGTAATCTCTGTGCGTTGTTGGGTGTGACCCAAAAAAGCAAAAAAAAAAAAAAAAAAACAGATGAGAGCCAGTGGGAGGGTCGTGGAAGGCAGCTGTATAAAAGGGGGCAGTGCTGGTGGCAGGGAACGGAGTACGGCTGCTGGCTGCTGCATCCTGCAGAAGCGGGGCAGGATGGCAGGCGGGACTTCCCTAGGCAGAGGGAACCACTGGTGGGAAGGCGCCAGGGAGTGCAGAGCCTGGAATGTCCAGGAGAAGAAACGCCAGAAACGCCCAGATTGGAGGGATGGAGGGACCGAGAGGCCACAGGTCCGTCTCTTAAGAGGCCAAGTTCAGATTGTAGTCAAGGTGAAGCGGGAAGGCTGGAGGCTGCTAAGGCAGGCAGGATAGTAACTGCATCCAGAGTTACTATGAAGTCGTTGATTGTGCCTGGTGGGTGAGAATAACTGCAGTCAGTGGGAGCAGGGAGATGGGGCAAAGGTGAGGGGCTCGCACTAGGGAGAGGAGACAGAACGGACAGATCCAGAATAAGAAGCGGCATTGTCAAGACTTGCTGGTGTGAGACTGGGCAGAGGAAGTTGGTGCAAACTTCACCAGCCCCAGGGGGATAAATCGGGGAAGGACACTCGGTAAAGTGCTGTGAGCTGACGTGGTGAGCCATGCACGGCAGCACAGCAGGGACCTTGTCACACACAGGCCTCCTCGGTGAGACCCGAAGCTGGTTCTTACCAGAAGGCAGGGGGGGATCTGTTCCAGAAGCCAGGGAAAGAAGAGTGTCAATCAAGAATTCTGTACTGGCTGGAATGCAGCAGGCAGAGCGCTTTGCCTTGCTCATGACTGGCCCAGGTTCGATCCCAGCATCTTTGAACACTGACAGGAGTGATCCCTGAGCACAGAGTCGGGAGTCAGCCCTGAACACAGTCAGGTGTGGCCCCAAAACAAACGAGCAAAAACAAAAAGAATCGTGAAGGAATAGAACTATGTAAGAACAATTAAGTAGATATTAATCCAAACTAGATGGTGATGAATTAAGATGTTGCTCATAATCCCCGGTATGAGCCACTTAGAAAACAATTCAGAACATATTTAAAGAAGAAACAAGGGAATTAAAATACTTCATAAAATATCCATTTAACTCAAAGAAGGTAGCAATATAAAAATAAAGGAATAAAATTCACATAGGTAAAAATAAAAATAGAAGAATGTCCTCCTAACGACGCTGTTGTCAGACAGAATAGACTTTGCAACATAAGTTGATGCTAGAAAAAAAGAAAATTTTATAGTATTAACATGGTCAATCCATCAATTGATCATAGTTATAAATGCTTATGCTCCTAAAAACAGATCCCCAAATATATAAACCAAAGGATGACAGAATTAAAGGAGAAACAATTCTGCAGTAATATTTGGACACTTGGCTACTGTACCATCAATAACAGACAGGACGTGTAGGTAGAAGATCAATAAGGAAATAAAATTTGAGCCATAACTTCAGCTTACTAACCTCGGCGTTAGTAAGAGAACAGCGGGGGCAGGAAACTTATTCCTCTCTGGGGTACACAGACATTCCCGAGGATGGCCTGGCTGGCAGGCTACAGAACAAGACTCGAGAAGTTGAGAAAGGCTGAAACCATAAAGCTGTTTGCTCTGCCCACAACAAATGGGGCCGGAAATAAAATACAAACAGTTCATTGGAACACTTGCAAAAATGTGGAAATTAAACCACACACACTTAAGCCGCCAATGGGCCAGAAGTGAATGAAATGAATGGAAATGAAACAAAACAAATGCTTAGAGATGAACGAAAATGAAGAGACAACATACTCAAACATAAGGATGCGGCTGAGGTAGCACTTGGGCTGAAATCCATGACAGGAAATGTGCGTATTAACTAAGAAGGGAGCGTTGATAAGTGAAAATGAGTCAGAAAGAGAGCAACAGGCATAGAATGACTGTACTCATTTGTGGAATATAAAATAACATAATATGAGACCGACACCTAAGGACAGTAGACACAAGGGTCAGGAAGATTGCCCCATAGTTGTAAGCCTGTCTCATGAGCTGGAGGAGAGGCAGCTGAATAGAGAAGGGATCACTAAGTCAATGATGGTTGGAGGAATCGTTTGGGATGGGAGATGTGTGCTGAAAGTAGATAAAGGACCAAACATGATAACCTCTCAGTATCTGTATTGCAAACCATAAAGCCCAAAATAGAGAGAGAGAGAGTATGGGGGAAATTGTCTGCCATGGGGACAGGGGAGGGTGGGAAATGGGGCTATACTGGGAACATTGTTGGTGAAGAATGTGCACTGGTGGACAGATGGGTGTTTGATCATTGTATGATTGAAACTCAAACATGAAAACTTGTAACTATCTCACAGTGATTCAATAAAAAATAATAATTAAAAAAAAGAAGGGAGAGTTGAGTCAAGAGCCTAATCTTACTGATAGGGAGAAAACAAAGAATAATAACAGTCCAGAGTTAGTGGAGGGAAGGAAAAGGTATATTAGAACAGAGTGTGTCCTTAATTCTCTTAGGATAACAGAAACCAGGAAAGCGAGAGAGATGTCCGTAAAACCAAGAGCTGCTCCTCTGAAGAAGTAGACTGATGGAGGAAAGGAAAAAGAGAAGCTATCAACAATTAAAATCAAAAGTAAAAAAAAAAAACACCAGGCCAGAGGGATAGTACAGTGGGTGAGGCACTTGCCTTGGACACAGCCGAC